TTACTGAGAGGAAAAGACTGTAAATGACTAAATATCCATGAATCAGGGATTGAAGATAAGTTGTGTTGGAGTTCTACCAAAGAAGACTGTACAGTCATCAAAGAAAATTATAGATGCAAGATATATTCATATTATTAAATAAAGCAAGGAAGAGGGAAAACAGTGACCATCATATGTTTCCATTTGTAAAGAAAACTACATCAATTTATTTATGCTTCCTATCCTAAATTAATTCTGAAAGACACATGGGGAAGAAAATTCTGAAACATACGCTAAGAACAAAAAGGGGAGAGAAAGGTGGGAAAGAGACTACTAAATACCTTCTTTTGCCTTTTAAATTTTGTACCATGTATATGTACACCTACTTTTAAAAAACCAATTATTTTCAGTGATTGAAGTCAATTAAGTGCACTGGCTCTTCATCCTCACCTCTGCATCTCCAATCTTTCCCCACAAGTCCTCTCCAGTCCACCCACATGCACCTCTGCTAGAGATAGATGCATTTCTTTCCGTCAGATGCACTCCGTGGCCCCTTCCTCAGTGTTCCACATTCATTGGTAAGCTTCTCCCCAACCTGGAACATGCTTTTCCTCTCGCAGGCTGCAGTTTTAGACCCAAGTCCAATCTCACTCTATGCAGGAGCCCTCTCTGACCACCTTGATCCTCACTATGCTTTCTCTCCTCTGAAATGGGATGTTTGTGACCTGGGCCTCACATGTGAGTATATAATTCTATGTGTTCGACTTTGTTGGCTCTTCCTTCATGTGTTTTAGTCTTATCTTGGAAACCAGAGTAAATGTCTTGAGAGCAGGAAGGCAACATGACTCAAATGTCTTTGTACCCTTGACACTGCCCAGCTCAGGGATGAGCACAGACTGAGGGATCACCAGGCCAGCTGGGTGGAGGACTGGATGCTGGAGGAAGGACCAAGTAGCCTCTTCAGGGATTGTGAGCTCAAGGATTCTTGGCTGTGACAGACCACATCACTAGGGCAAGATTCTCTCAAGGAAATGCAGAAATCCTAGACTATTAGAGAAATATGACAATAGGCACAGATGTCAAGCAGGTGACATAAACGTGTAAATAAATGGGCAGAGTATAGGAGTGATGGACCCTGGGGAAGAATCAGAAAATAACCGGCCTGCCTGAAGGCTTCAAAAGTCCAGGTGAAAAAACAAAAACAAACAAACAAAAAAACTCCTTCAGATCAACAGCATACATCCAGAGTAGATGAGCATATCTAATCATAATCAGAAACTAGTTTATGACCTTGTCAGAAGTGGGCACCAACCCATCTCTGCAGGTATTCATCTCCATGAGTAGACAGAATTCTATAACATGGAAAAACAGCTCTAGAAAACAAACTCTTAAAAGAGCTCCATAAGTGAGTCTAATCAGTGCCTCCAGGGAAGGCAGCATTTACAATCTCTTCCCACCACAAAGAATGGAAGCTTCACTTCCTCCACACATGTGAATTTCACGGTATTGCCACCTGGACCTTCCTGCCACATCAGCCATGGTCCCCTTCATGCACCTCTGAGTTCCCATAACCCATTGCCTGTAATAGCAAAACTCTCCAAGCCATAACCAGACTCGGCCCTCCCTCATCTCATGGGTGCTTCTCAGACATATTTCCAGTACAGGTGGAGCACTTGGTGGAGGATCCTCTGTCTCAGCCATTCTTCTTCAAAAGGTGCCCTGTGTCCCTAAACACGCAGTTCTCTGGGAATGGATGACCACACAGTCGTCGTGAAGGAGACAGCTGAGCCATCGAGCTGCTGTAGGGTGTGGAGAGTGAAGACAAAGTGCGAGCACAGACTCTACCTGTGAGCAGGCACCTTTAGGGCCAGGCTCTGTAACCCTGACAGACAACCAGACACCCTCCTCTACAGACTGACTCACCACATAAGCCTCCCTAAGACAGATCAAGGACTCTGACACGACACCTGCCTTGTGAAACAGACGGGCTTTGTGATGCAGTCAGCTGGCCTGGTTCCGTCCTCTGTGAGGCGGACAGGACGAGGCATAGCACTGGGAGTCATTAGGCACCAGACCCTGAATGCCTAGAGAGAGGGATGGTTGGTCTCCTCATGCCAATAAGGTTTACACCATGTTGAGCCCTACTTTTCTTTATGGCTCCATCTTCATTATTATCCTAATTATCTGGCAAGTGAAGAGGAGTTATGATGGATTAAGGCTGAAACCTAAAAGGGGTTGCTGTTGGGTAGGGAAATGCTATGACCACAATTGAACTGATTAAGCCTGAGATAAGAAGCTTTTAAGATATAAGAGTGTCTGCTTTTACCCTTTCCCCTTCCTCAATGTTTACACCATGCATTCAGTTACTCTGATATCATACTTCTCTTATAGAGCCTAGAAATAATTCCTTACCAGGCCATCCCTGCAGTGTATTCTAACTGAAAAATCAAGACCCTCTCTATCAGGCTTGGGCTGAGACCCAGATGAAATGGAATCTACTCACAGGATCTCAGAAGATCTCCCAGTACAGGGGATCTTTCTGGTTGGTGGTCCAGTAAGGCATTTGTTAGCAGAAGTCCTTTGGCTTTAGACCCATACACCCAATAATCTGCTCCACTCTTTCTCTTGTTTCATCATGAGCTTCAGAAGAACTTCTCCTGGGAAATAAGTGGGAAGTAGAGAGTATGGAAGAGCCTCGAAATGAATCAGAAGCAAGCAGAGAAGAGAAACGTTGGGGTGAGAAAAGGTGGAGTATGGAAAGGAGGATTAGAAAGTCAATAAAATACAGACAGATATATAGAAAGGGATGGAGAAATGTGTATTTCCTTTGTCTCATTTTGGACATGAAAAATAAAATAGTATGCCAGCTTCACACTCTAACTTTTTTGCCTTTAAGTGTCATCGAAAAGTCAGGCAAAGGGCCAGACATGCAGCATAGAGAGGTAAAGTCCCCTTCTCTGCTCTGACCCCTCCACCGTGGGTGCTGTTCCCATGCATCCTGCCCCTCTATGACCCGTGGTGCCAGGACCCAGTGCGCTCACAACTGAAGGCTCCAACTCCCAAGTTGACAAATACTCCCAGAAGACTTTCTTGGTGGGAAATCAGAGCCCAGGAATGTTCCAAAATTCTCCACCCTACCCCCGGGAATGAAGAATGAGGAAGTAGGGCAGAAGTCCTTAGCTGTGTCATTTACTAGTTTTATGACCCTGTGGAAGTCACTTCATCTCTCAGTCTTGTTATCCAGGAAATGGGCATCTAATGACCCTGCCTCACTCACGGTGTGCTGGTGATGATCAAATGAGATTAGGTCCAGGACAGCACATTGTAACTAGTTAAGTTGTATACAGACGTGCCTTAAAACGTTGATTCTTGGGGTTTCCAGTCTCCTCTAATCCAAAGGCCTTCAGCTTCCTATAGGATGTCCCTGAATCCTCTCCCCTTCCATGTAACACTGTCTCCTGGTTTCTCAGCAAGGAGACGTGCCCAGGAAGAAGCTGAGGAGGCATGGGAGCTGCTCTCTATCATGAAAAGGTGATCTCTTGCTCTTTGCAGTCTCCCAACTCCCAGCCTGGCCTGTGATGATTTCTCTGCTTGGTCAGGTACAGGGGTGAGGAGGGGCATAATGACTGGGAGGGAGCAGACACAGCAGAGGCCAGAGGACTGACTGAGAGAATTGCCAGGGCAGAAGGGGATCAGACAGCTCAAGAGGGAGGCATCTCCCAGTTCTGCTCTGGGCTAGGCTCAAGGTGGTCCTGGAATTCAGGATTGACTAGTGCATAATGCATAAAAGACTCTATGTGGCTTTGCACTTAGTCACAAGACAAGTTATCCAGTCAAGAGAACGGATAAATAAGTGCATAAATAAGTCATCATTGTTATATTCTCTTTTCAGCTACACCCTTTCAAGAGTAGACGCCTCAGAGGATGTCTGGACCCTGCTGACACTACCTCCTGCGGTTCTGTCTTCAGGGAGGCCAGTTGCTGGCACAGCCCTCAGATAGGAACCTGTCATCTTCTCCTCTTCTTAAGATCTCTAGAGAGTGGGACAGGCTCCAAAGAGAAGTTGTATGCACACCATAGTCCCCAGAATGCAGAGTTCCCACAAGGACCTCATGTTCCACAGTTTGGAAATACTGAATATGGAAATACTGAATACCAGCCTGTGGCCTTCTGAGCCCCAAACGAGACTGACTCCAGGTTCTACCCAGTGATGTCCCATCAACCAACCACTGGCTACGCCATCTGCCTGGTACCTGCTCCTAGTTCAGCTTCTCAACACAGGTCAGCAGAGAACTCATCCCATCTCCCAGTCTCTCATGGCCATGTGCTCCCATGGCTTGTCTGAGACCTCAGCCCCGCCCACCATGACTTACCAAATGGCCTTTTCACAGGAAGAAAAACGGATGGGTAAACACCCAGAGGTGCAGGTTCCAAGGCTTATAGGACTAGGGGACGGCAGTGCCAAGCTCCAGGCCACACACTTCCAAAGAGGCAGATGTCACTCCATCAGTAACAGCTGTCATGTTTCCTTTCACAGCCAGAGCCAGATTCCTCAGGACGGAAGTGTGCAGAGGCTCCTGTGTGCAGATCCCTGCTGCCAAATCTGCAATGCCATGGCTCTGGAGATTCAGCAGTTGTTGGTGGGTGAGAACACCCTGATCTCTTCCACTTCTCTGAGGCCATCACAGGGCTCCTCTTGCCTAGAGGTGTTGTCCATGCCTACTGTGTCTTTTGAGCAGAGTCTGGAGCATCGTTCCCCATAATCGAAAGACCTTTCACTTCCACCTCCAACCCCCACAGTGTCACAATTAACGGACTAGAGATCCTTAACACAGTCAGCTGCCCAGTCCGCAGGTGAGGTCAGCCTCCATGAATACTGGGCTGAACACCTCCAGCTAGGGCAGGAATTTCAAGTGCCAGACATGTCCACGGGCCCAGAGACGATCTCTTCTTCAAGATGGGAGGAGCCTAGGATCCCAGGGAACCAGCAGGAGATGATGCAGAGCAACCCCAGCCTCGTCTACGGGAACCAAGGTCAGCAGCCCTTGAATTCCCAGGTCTCTCTGCTGACTCCGAATGGAGAAATCACTACCCTGACACATCCTCTAGCCTTGCATATGGTCACTGTCCTCCCTGTCCACCTGCCATACCTCAGTCCTGAAATCCTGAGGTTTCTTGAGGTACATGTAAAGAAATGGATGCATTTCCAGAGGTGGGGGCTCCCCAGACATGTGGAGGAGTCCCTGAGACAGTTCATGCCAAACCCGCCATTGTTTTACCAACCTATAAATAACCAACCAGTTTCTTTCATCCAGAACGATACTTCTCAGCTCTCTGTTGAGAAATTTGCGAACATTTCCTACTAGACCTGGGGTTCATGTACGGCTGGCCAGCCAACCCAGGCCTTCTGGGTTTCTGAGTGGTCCATTCTGGACCTAGGACAAAGATACAACTACCAGCAAATCCCAAACCATATGGCTCTAGCCTTGCCCTCTCCAGCCCTTAAAGACCTAAGTGGCCTCGATCCACTTCCTGGGCCACAGGCTCATGACTCAGTGGGCCATTTGCAGCAGGAATACAGCCAGCTATTCTGTGGCCTCCCTTCTCTGCACAGTGAGTCCCTGGTTGATGTCTTCCTCGGCTGTCAAGGCCTCTCCATGAACAGGAACATGTCCAAGGCCCCCTTGAAGGATCCTTTTCTCTTCAAGGAGCTCTCCTTCCTACCTCTGCCGCCTAAAACTCCACCCATGACAGCCATACCCTCTGACTCATCTTCTCCAAAGTGGGTGACTCAGTCTGACCACCAACAAGCTCAGATCAATGTCCCATTTCTGACAATGGCCGAATGTGAAGCTCTGGAGTGGCACGTGCTACAGAGGCAGCTCCAACTTCACTGGGGTTTGCCAGAAGTTTTCCAGAGATCTCCACACACTCAGAGCCCTGTGCACTATAAGCCCTGTGACAAAGCCCAGTCTGCTGAGACTGGGAAAACCTCCTGGCAAGGAAAGCCCATCTCAGCCCGGACCAGAGAAATACACTTCTTCCCGGAGCATGCCCGGAGGCTGCTGGGATTCCACCTCCAGAGGCAGTTGATTCACCATCGCTGGGGCCTGCCCCAGAAGATCCAGCAGTCCATCCAGTTGCTCCTGTCCCCCGCTGATCAGCACACTCTGCCCTGGAACAGCACAGCCCTAGCCAATGTGTGACTGTTCCCCAATCCATAGTCCTAGACACCAATGGGGCTGGTGACCCCTTCTCACCCATCATGGACCCAGTGTCAGTCCCCGTGCCACACTTGCTCGACCAGGCCAAGGCAATATTGCAGAGCCACATCAACTCCAAACGTGGGCAGATTCACCAGGGCAAGGTCCCTGCCTGTGTATATAGCTCTTGGGAGTGCATCATTCCTGGCGGCCTGGAAGGGGCTCCCCTCACCTGCATCCCAGAAAGCAAGCCCCTGGAGCGACAGGCAGCCACTGACTCTGATCTACAACAGGAAGTTACACCCTGGATGCCCACAGCCCTCGAGCAGCAGCAACAAGCCTCTGCAGATGCCAACAATGAACATCCTAAGCTGCCCCGAGCCCTGTCCAAGGGAGCCCTTGAGAAACTGGAAGATGAATTTACAGCAGAAGTATCTGGCCTTCTTGTCAGGGCTGCCTGCTCTCTATTATGTGGCTCTCTCCAGGGCCATGACCCCGGCAATCACTACCCAAGCTCTAATCACAGACAAGGTGCCTGGGCCAGCCTGATTCCTCATGGAACCTCTGACCCAGGTGATCTCATGTGAAGACCAGTGTCGAAGTCCTGGGCCACGCATTCAAGATGCCAACGAGACTTGTGCAGACTCTGCAGATGAGTTCCAGGCTGAGGTGGAGGTGGAAGGAAAGATAGAGATGGTGCCTCTGGAAAGCCAGACAGACCCTGCTACCCCCTACACACTCAAGAAACCCATCTTGGCCAAACTAAATTTGCATCTGAGAAAGCAGATTCTAGAGATACAACGGGGAATTCCCCTAAGGGCAAGGGCGTCCAGGGAACAAACCATAGCAATCCCACAGAACATTTCCACACAGGAATCTCTTGAGAGTGTAATCAACCCAGGAAAAACACTGCTCCAGGAACTCCCCATCACACCAGACACGCCTCGTGCCCCAGATCCAGAATGGCTCCATCTTAAAGAACAGCTGGCCAGTGAGTTAAAGGCAGTGCAGAAGAGCCAGAAGCACCCTAGTTCCAGAGCAGTATACCACGGTTCTGCCCACGGGGCCTCCAAGATCTCACAGCCCAGTGGGGATGTGACAGAGGCCCAGGTGCTTTGTGTTCAGCTGGAGGCCAGTGTGAACCTCCCCAGCCTGGTGGAGCCCTGGAGCCCTGAGCCCCAAAGCCCTGGCAAGAGCAACGACTCAGCCCAAGTCCCCACGCTCGCAGGAAACAGAGAGGACCCGGGGAAACCCATATCAGCAGGGGACCACGGAGAAGGGGATGCAGGGTTTGCGTTCTCCTCAACAAGAGAAAATGGCCACCCTGCCGAAGCCCAGAGGCCAGAAGGGATGCTTCTGCACAGGACACCCCACAACCCCTGGCGATGGAGCCATAGCTTTCACCTTGAAGCTCCCCGTCCACACAGTCCCGAACGTCGCCCTCAGCTTAAGCTCCCAGAGCTACCACCAGGAGTCCCTGGGGGGCAGGATTCTGAGAAGAATGACCCGCAAGACAGTCAAACCAAGCTCAACATCATCCTCAACCCAGCAGGGACTCCTGAACATGCACAGCCTGTGGGGCCCCAGGCGTCCCAGAGCTAGCATTTTCTGGGCCAACTCATTCAGGGTAAGCCATTGCAGAGCCAAACTTTGCAAGGTCACGTTTTGCAGGGGCAGGTGATGCCAGTCCATACTCACAAGAGGCCTAGCCTCCCGGAATCTGGCTTGAGAAATAAGATGAAACCCTTTCTGCACTGGATTAACTCCAAGACAAAAGGCAAAGGGCACAAGGAGTCCATGTTCTCCACAGCCCAGAAAGGAGCCAATATCAGAAAAGAAAATGTAGAAAAGAGCCTGGCTCCAGCCAAAAGTCTCACAGGGTGAACTAAGACACAGAAGACAGGAGTGGACCCCAAGACCCCATCACCCCACACTGAGAAGCAGGTCAGCGTGGCCTTCTGGGATGGCGCCCCTTCCCCAGACAGTAAACGCTGGCACTGCTCCCACTCCCATCAACTCCACTCTGTCTCAGTCCTGGGCCACCCCGGCCACTGCCCTCGTGGTGTGTGCCACCCACCCTGGGAACCCAACCAAATTCTCAACTTCCCACTCAGAAGGAAATGTTTGTCTCCTCAAGGAGACCCAGCACAATCAAAAGACTCTGTAGGTTCCCCAATGTCTGCATCACTTGAAGAGGACTGCTACTGTCAATTTCATTACTGTGCATGTGGGGCAGAGCGTCATCCAAATACACTCCATAATCTAAGCAAAGATTTGTCTGTCTGCGCCTTCTTGCCACTGGGGTGTGTTAAGGGAAGGCACAGGGGAGGCTAAAATGTCCTTCCTCTCTAGGAAAGGAGCTTTAACCCACACTTAAGCTGGGTCAGCATTCCACACAACTCCTCCCAGCCCCACCCTGGACTGTGGATAAAGAGACTTGAGCAGAGAAGGACGGCCCTTGTCTAAGGTGCACTGAAGGTAAAGGTCAGGCTTGAACTCTATCGTGGTGTCCCATGGTGTCCTTGGGCCCAGAGGTGCAATGTGGACGTGAGGATAGTACTGACAAGAAGGAGTGGCCAGGAATCGCACAGGCACAGTTCACTGACGACTCCTATATAGGCCCACAATCTGGAGGGAAGGTTTAGAGGAGGGCCACAGTGTCTACCCTTGAGGAGGTGCTTTGTGTTTATCAAAAGCTCACAGCTAATATGACAGGGTGTCAAAAGCAAATGACAGAATCTCCCCCTCTGCTCCATGATGATTATTGGTTAGATCTTTCTCCACAACTCATCTGGGAGGCTGCTGTAGCTCTCTAGCCTATATCCCACCTCCACTGCCCAGCAGCTGCATGGAACGACTGACACCTGGAATGAAGATCACAGTAGGACATGGGGAGGGGCTTGTGCCCCACCCCCAAGAGCAGGCAGGGAGAGAAGTAGGGAGGAGGAGCATGTAGATGGAGGTCTGAGTACCTGGGACAGAATCTGACAAGTTTCTGACCAGGGCATGATAAGGCAGCAAAGCCAATTTGCTTCAAACTCCAAAGAACCTAAAGCCAGGAAGCCAACCAACAAGTGCTTTTGGAGGAAGGAGGTGAGTAAATCTGAGCTTCAGTATGCTTGTCCAGTGTGAGAAAGAGCAGTGAGTTGAGCCTTGAAGCTTCTGGGAATGAGCCACAAACACCAGGGTTTTTCTAAACATCTTTGAGCTTCTCAAGTTACTGCCAGCAGCTTGCACCTGGCCCTACCGCTGTGTCTCAGTTCTACACGACCTATACCTTGGATCCTTCTTCACTTTTCTCCTTTCCACCAGCCTTGCCTCACTGAATATTCATGTATAATTTTATATACATTTATATATATGTATATTTTTATGTATTTCCTGTATATTATATTGTACTGAACTTAGCCAGCTGTATCCCTCCCAGGATCTGCCTTCCCCTCCTTTCCTTAACCGAAGACAGCATCATATAAGCCTGTTAGCTCCAGCCCTTTGTTCCTGTCATCTTTCCCCATTTCTTCATTATATCTCACCACATTTCAGAATGCACCAGAACCACTCACCTTCACTGTCAAAGAAAACTTTAAGGCTTTTGGAAAGTGTCCTGTCCCATTAACCAGACACAAAAAGTGGCCAGGAATCTAGAATTTAATGCCACACATGAGTCTCGAACAACCAGATAAGCTGCTCAGAACTGAAGTGGGACTGTGGCCCCTTTGCCTCTCTCTGGGAATGTCCAACATGGGCTATTTCAGAGAAATATCTGTTTAGCATTAATGGAAATATAACGTGAAATTCTATGAAACCCTTGCAGTGAAACGGAGAAACCCAAGAGGGAGGCTAAGAGGCAAGCTGAGATCTGTAAGCAGCAGCTAAGAAATGTAAGCCCCTCCCAACTGTATCCTGTACCCACACTCCCTCCACACAGACTAAATGAAATTCCTCCTACAGATCTGTTTTAGGAGGCCTCTAGAATTACTTGCCATCCTGAGACATTCCTAGAGCTCTTTCCTGCTTCCTGTTCAGTCAGCCGGCACTCCTATCCCCACCCCACCACCATCACTGATGGGTGACCCACCACCACCAGCAGCCTCTGTCACCCTGGCTGCACAGTGGATCTCTTAATGGGGGCCATCAGACTCACAGTCCCTTGACCTCCTGGGGAGGCAGAAGTGGACCCTGTCCTACCTTCTCCTGAGAACTGCGTTGGGGCGGGTACTGACTTCCCTGGAAGGAAGACTAGAACCCCAGACCCTGAAGGAGGCCATGGTAGAACAGCATTGCTCAAGGCTGTGCTTGTTCCACTCAATGTAAGATTAAGTATGACTAGAAGATTTGGGTCGTCCTTTTCCCTTTGGAAGGAAACTTCTGGCTGAAGTGGCCAGAGAACGATGGCAGAGAAAGATGATAAACATGAACCAAGGGAGCAAAACTACAACACAAGAAAAACATTACAAAGTCCTCAGGCATGTGTTTTTACAATTTTTAGGCCAAATGTGTGACCCTTGGAGAGGATGCAGATTTTAAGGTCAGAGTCACAGGGATGTAATATGGAAAAAATCACCAGAGTTAGAACCCTAACTCTGACATCTGACGATTACTTCACATTTCTAAGCCCCAGTTTCTTCATCTGGGAAAGGGGGATAACTGTACATCCATACCCCAAGCCTCAATTACTGTTAATGTAGTGGTGATTCCCAAAGCCACCTCTCGGCTCTAATCTTTCCTCTGAGCCCCAACTGTACAGGCAATACCTGGTGGGAAACTCCATCTTGCTCTAAAGATGACACAAATTAATTCAAAATTTCCAAACACCCTCCACCTCACCAAATTGTTTTCCAAAGTCAGGGAATGGTATCACTATACATTGACTGTTTTGCTCAGAACATACATCAAGTCAGTCACTGGGTTCTAATTCTGGTTATCTCTCAAGCTGCCTCCTTTCCTTTATTTTTACTGCCTCTGCTTCTATTTCAGTTTCTCAACCTTTTTTTCCTGAACAATCACAATAGTGCGTCGTATCCCCAGGGCTTAGGATAGTGGCTGGCGCATAGTAATACCTTAATAGTACTTGAATCCAAAGTCTAGACTGAGGAGACAGATGAATAATTATATCAGTGTGATGAGTGCTGTGGTGTGTGAGGTCCTGCCACAGGAGGAAGTATTCAGCTGATCAGGAGGACCCTAGAGTCACACAAAAGGGCCACAATAAAAATAACCTTGAGAGGCATCTTGCATTCACAATAAAAATAACCTTGAGAGGCATCTTGTATTCAACAATTAAAATATCTGAGTACATACTATGTGCTAGGAACGATGCCAGACCCAACAGTCACTAAGACACAGGCCTTGCCCCCATGGAGATCATTATCTCCAGGGTAGACAGTCTCACATGCCCAAATTGTCTAATCAACATATACACGTGGATGTCCAATATTCATCTCAAAAGGGAACTCCTGATTCCCTGTCCCCCCATCACCACCCTAACACACATGCCAAACTGCTCCAGTTGCAGTATTTCCCACCTCAGTTAACGGCAACTCTCTCTTGCCAGTTGTTCAGGCCAAAAACATTAATGTCGCCTTGATGTTTTCTCTCTAACAGTCCACATCCAATCCAGCAGAAAATCTTCTTGTCTCTACCTTCAAAATGAATTCAGAACATGACCACTTCTCACTCCCTCTGCTGCTATGATTTATGCATATCATCCCTAATCTCTCTGCTTCTTCCTGAGACCATACCTCCAACCATCTACTCTCAATATAGAAGCCTGATGGTCCTCAGGGAGGGTCCTGGCTATAGATGGCTGAATGACTGACTGATTGACTGACCGACTGACTGATGTATATAATACCATGAAACCAGACAAGATTACCAAGCAAAGGAGTGTAAACGAAGGAGAGATCTAAGGACTGGACTCTGGCATATTCCAACATCAAGAAATTGGAGGAAAAAGGAAGAACCAGTAAGCAGAGACTGAGAAGCAGTAGCCAGGGAGGCAGTAGGAAAAGCAGAAGAGTGTGGTATACTAGAAGCCAAGAGAGGAAAGTATCACGAGGAGAAAGTGATCAACTGCATGAAAAGTCGTGAACTGACCAAAAAAGATAAAGACTCAGAGTTGACAATTAGATTTAGCAACACAGAAATCACTCAGGGCCTTGAAAAGAATAGATTCAGGTGAATGATGGAGGTGAGGTGTGACTGCAGTGGATTCAAGAGAAAATGGAAGAGGAGCAATTGGTGACAGCAAGTGTAATCAATTCCTTCAAGGGGGTTTGTTCCACAGACGTGGAGAAAAATCAGGAAACCAGCTGTGGGAGGAAGACGAACCCAGAGACGGGTGTTTCTTTTAAAGGTGAGAGATACAGCATGTTGGATGTTGATAGAAATGATGTGGTCAAGAGGGATACACTGATGATGCAGGAGAGCAAGGGGAGAACTGCTGGAGCAATG